CCGGTCTATAAGGGGGGTAAAAGGTTATTGTCTATAAAATGGTGGTTTAATGGGCCTCCACTCTCACCCACCGCTTCGTTGACTGGTGGAGGGTCGTTACCTGAACTAGTAAGATATGACATTAATTCTCATTAAAAGTATAATGATAATTATAAAGTAACTAAATATTTTATTAAATTCCTAATCTTAGTTACTTTAGGAAAAATGTGAAATTGATGCTAATCCATGAAATTGCACTTTGGATTTTGCCAAGTCGTTAATGGAGTGTGTGTGGTTAACCGGCATACTAACATGGACTAGTAAAGGTGGCAAAGGGTGGCTTGATGTTTATCATAGATCAATGGAGCATGTGTGGTTAACCGACACATTTATTAGGTGATAAATGACATCAAGAGTACCAAGCATATTTACATGGTTATTCACACCTTGTTTGTGATCTTCGGTATCGCAGTCGCGAACTTGAAGGACATAATCGAGATTTAAACACGCCATTGAAAAGTTCAATGAATCTTAAAAGAATCTAGGAATTTCATTCCAACTAAAACTTAATAATCAATTTCGTTTTTCATGGTGGAAATTGGTAAATCGTCATTTACCTACCTTCAAATATTTTGCAATTGGATTACGACATCCCTCTTTCGAATTGTAAAATATTGTGTTGGGTCCTAGCCTTAATATTTCGTCCACTACTCACTACTAGAAAACTGCCCTTTAATGACGTGCAAACAATGACGCGCGCTAATAGAGGACGCGCATTTGTGCGTGTGCTAAAAAATAATGTCAGCTCTGGAAAATTTGAAGGATAAAGGGAACTCATTTTTGAGCGCCCTAAAATTAGTGTCCACCAAAAAAAATTAAAAACACGGAGGGCACCTATCCTAAAAAGCGCATCGTGTTACCCTGTCGCTTTATAATTTTAGTCTATTAGCGCGTGTTTTCACTTTGTTTTTTTTTTTTTTTGGGGGGGGGGGGGAATGAAATCCAAAAAATTAAAAACCTCGCTTGCATCTCCTCCTTCCACAGGAATGCTCACCTCATCAGACTCACCACCATCTCTCTCTCTCTCTCTCTAGTTCCCCTCCATACCACCACCATGGTTGTCGCAGCTACATCTCACCACCTGCAACCTCAACACAATCGACCATCACCACCATTCCTACCATCCATTGCCGCCCTACCATCTTCTCCATCACCACCTCTTTCTTGTTCTATGTGAAACCCTAAAATCGGTACCAACAATTGATAGGTTCGATTCTAACCCTAGTTCAGTTCCCCCCCCCCCCCCAAATAAAACATTAAAAATACTAAAATATGTTTGTGAAATCACTCTAGCAGTGTATTCTGAAGCATCCGAGGCATTGCATCTGAAGCTCTGCGACATCAACAAGGTCTCCGACACAATTTGAGAGGTATAGAGAGAGTGTGTGAAAGAGTGTTTGGGATGAGAAAATCAGAAAGTGAGCACCTCTATTTATAGTGGTTCTGTGCATAGTGTGCACTCGATTCATGGATCCACCTAGAGCTTTCCATGTGTCACATTTCTAATGGTCCATGTCTCCATAATCTTCGACGAATCTAGGTGTCTAGTGTGCACAACAGGAATGATGCGCACTTGGCGTGCAACCTAAATCTTTTATAAAAATTCATATATTCCTTATATAAATCTTTTGTCTTACCATCTTTGTCTACTAGTACTACAACTTTCCTTAACGTTGCATTGTCAAATTTTGACTTTTGTTTTAAACCCATATTTTATACTTTTCTAAAAATCATATCTCCTTCATACGAACTCCATTTTTGACCTTTTTCCTTTCAAAGTGCTTGTCTTACGGGTTACTAGGATTTTCCTTTTAGTGATGCTAGCTGAAACTGAACCGATCTCTATATGCTATTTTGATGTTAATGATGTTATTAACGCGGTTGGTTTTTATCTTTTATAAACTCATAAATCCTCCAATCGGAGTCAGATTTTTGCAATGCTTAGATCTTTGGGTTCACTTTGTTGTGTACTTTCCAAATACACTAACCGTCACAAAATTGATATAACCTTTTGCTCACTCATTTTTTAGCCTATTATTATCATTTAAATGATTATATTTTCCTTCAGTATGAAAAGTTCTTTCATTATCATTGGTTGATTCTAGTCTTTAGTGACAATTAGTGACAAGAAATTTTGAATTGTTACATTCTCTCCCTGTTTTAGGAATTTCGTCCTCAAAATTTGGACCTTATGGTAATCTTATTAGGGGAGATCGGTTTCTTAATCAGGAAGTCCGTTCCTTTTTGCTATTTATTGGGATAACTAAATTTCTTTTTTAGTTTTCTACTTCTAGTTCTTCAACTTTATTATTAGCATCTAGTATTTGTCTTTTGAAATCCTGTTTGATCGTACCCTTATTTTACACGAACAAGAAACCTAAATCTCTTATCTTAGTATGGTGTGGATTTCTGGAAGGATTTCAATTTTTATTTGTCTATCACCACATATACTTAAAATAGACATATATATATATATATATATATATATATATATATATATATATATATATATATATATATATATATATATAATGTTGAGTGCAATTTCAAAGGTTTCTAATTCCGTTGCTCAAACCTTACATAATCATTCCTGTGACTCAATTTCCTAAACCTTAATATCTAATATTTCATTCTAATGGTATGGTTAACTCTTGCAGATGTTGGCGATATGCCCTGGCCTTCTATAGTTGTTACAACCAAAATTTATCACATTTTACCAAATGATGAAGTCCACAGTTACTGCATAAGGGGAGTTTTCCCAAGTACCCCCTTGGTGAAGTGGGGGATCTCTCATTAGGCTTCCTTTCCTCTTTTTTCTTCCACAAGGGTCTACTAAATTTTCCCTTGACGATTCGTCCCCACTTGATCTTAAAATATTTGGAATTCTTCTAACTCATTTTTGGATTCTATGGCACATGATCCTTGAGAGTGAAGGCTAAATATTTAGCTTCCTCATAGGTATTAGGATGGTGTGATTGCACTTCGACTCTGAAATGGGGAGCTAACCCTTGGAGATATGCATTGATCTTCTGGATCACCTAGTTGACCAATTTAGGGCATATGGTGACTAAGTAAACAAAGCATGCCGTTTAGAAATCCAAGCCAAACTCTTTGGTGCTCAGATGATTGAATTCTTACTCGACTCTTGCCACGCCTTTACCAGAACGTGATTCCTTTATCACCTGTCTCTTCAACTCTTCCCAGGGAGTTGCATAGGCTTCACCTACTCTTAAATCATTGACCTGGATACTCCACCAAAGGATAGCTCTTCCCATAAACATGCAAGTTGTGAACTCGACTCTATGTTCACTAGCACACTTTCTCTTTATCTTTTTTGCTTAATAGATCACACTATCTACTCACCTGTCTCCATAGAATGATTTTGGCTTAGTCTTGACAAAATCCTGATAGGTTGTTGTAAATTGACTACATTCCTTATTGCTTCCCCCATCCTTGCTAGGTCTGAGATTCCTTAATGCATTAGAGACTTGACACTGAATCATGTTCTGAATGGTGGTCGTGTCAATCAAGGTTAATATCGAAGGGTTGTTGTCCTCAAATGAAAACAACAAGGTTATTTGGTGTTTTGTAATGGGGTTAACATTATTATTTTTTTTCATTTTTAGTGTACTATAGTTGCATTCCTAGCAATCTGTCTCCTTATCGCTTGATAAAGACCTTATTGATATCTTTTCTTTTTTATTGTCACTTTCTCTCTTATCATGACATGTTATTGTTTCTTTCCTAGCAACCTATATAATTTACTGATTTTAGCATGCTATTTTTGCTTCCCTAGCAACCTATATTATTTACTAATTTTAGCATGCCATTGTTGCTTCCCTAGCAGTGTATATAATGAATGAAATTTCCAACTACTTCAAGGAAGTCTCACTTCCTTTTTCTTAATCTCCTATTTAAATTAAACTCCTAAGGGATTTTAGTATCTAGGATATCCAATGGTTTTTGGGGATGAAAAAGTGTAAATTTTAGAAATCTTGAACATGCACATTGGGTACACGATACGCGCGTCACGTACTTGAAGCAAATCAACATTCAAGTCGAATTTTGGCTTCATTCGAACTTTTACAAAACATTCCTTTTGTCCCCATTAGCTTTGTCTCGACTGGGTCCCACACATAATGCACACTTCATGTGCCTGCCTCTAATCTTTTATTTCTTCATGTTATTCGATCACTCTACTTCCAGATAACCTCTATGACCAATCCTAACTTAGATTTCACGCTAAATTTTGAGTTTTTGGAGGTTTTTATAAATTGATGAGTTTGTGTTGGTTTTTGTGAAATAGAGGATCACTAAAGCATCTTATACTACCGATTTTACTTCCTATATATTCAATTTTGGGTTCATTTATTGATTCTCATTTTGAGTTTTTAAGCTTTTGAATTTTTTTAACTAAATTGGCAGATTTGTGACATTTTAGATGAAATTGGGTACCTATTTATGTTCTACATGACTAGTCAAACACCCCTATATGGGTTTTATGTTGAAAATAGGACCAAACAGCTAGTTTCCAAGCGTGATGTTCTTCGTGTTCTTAGAGTGCAACATACAGATGAATATGCACCGCGTGCACTCGCACGTAATGCGTATCTGGCATCTCTGGTCCATTTCAACACCTAATGCAGCTTTTATCTTTTCTAACATATTCATAACTGCATTTCGGCCTATTTTCATATAGGTATGTATATATAAGATCAACAATTTGTGGGTCAATTACCTCCGAACCGACCTTTGTATCGTTTCCTAGAGTTCCTTGATGATCTTCCTGATCAGAGCTATTTTGTTTTTCACCTTACTTCTATTATGTCCAAGAAGATCAATATTCCCCAAGTTCTTTCCTAGAGAGTGGTAGATGATTCTAGGCCGACGGCTCGACTGGCGCCATTCCTTACCCGTGTATTGCAGGATGATAGTGGTTTTGTGCTTTTTGTCTGCCACAGATGGTGGAGAGACGTCAAGGTTCAAGAGGTGGTCTTCAAGGAGATATGATGGGAGTTCTTTTAGACATTCCGATGCGACAAGGATTCGACGAGATGGTCTGATCAATCAACTTTTACTTTTCATTTGGGAGGCATATACCGCTCCTGCATCCTGATCGAGTTGGGGAGCCATCTAGGGATTTACACTAAAGAGGAGACTCAGAGTCCTCATTTATACTTATCTTGATAGATGTATTAACGTGCCACCACAGGAGTACAACTACATTTAGGTTTAGGGTCATGATCGGGGTACTTATGTTTCCAGGACAGCCAAGGAAAGTGCCTTCCGTTCTCCTCTCTATCGGTTGATTCATCGATTGGTCGCTTCTACCATTTTTTACTGACAGGAGTGTGACAAGGTTCCTTCTAGCGACCTCTTCTATATGTGGTGCCTCACTCAAACGAATGTTTGCCTTTATCTTCCTTTTGATCTTGCTCTCTACTTATCTAGCATGGCTCTAGGTTCTACACCTGTGAGCAGGATCTGCAGGGGTTACTGGGTTACAAGGTTGTCCTTATCTTATGATTTTGACACTAGTGGGATTGTTCGTATGCCTATCCGGGAGATGGGTGCTACCACTCGCGGGAAGATATGGGTGTTGGTTCGAGGAGTGGGGAAGCAGTGGAGGATTCTGGACAACGATATTATGGAGCCAACTCAGCAGGCGGAGCCAGAGGACATCCCTGAGCCTGCCTTCCTTAGGCGTTAGAGGCCTTTGTATGTGGATCCTGACAATCCCGGTCAACTCTACATGATGTGATGCAATATCTTATTGCTGAACAGGAGGAGCGTCATTGGTTAATGGCTATGATCGGTGTGGTTATGCGGCATCTGGGGATGGACTATCCACCTTTTCTCTAGGGCGGGTTATGTTGTTCCACCCCTTTCTTAGCCATAGGGTGCCAACCATGATGGTGTGGGCACTTCAGGCACTTATCTCAGAGATACGGTCTGCGGATGATGATTATGATGAGGATACATAGGACAAGGAGGCTGAGTATGAGAGCAACGGTGACTAGGTTGAGGTTTTTGGGTTTGATACTTTGTGTTTTTATACATACGATGTATTTTGATACCCTTTATGTATGTTCTTTTTATTTGTACATATGATTTATGTTTTATCGTTTATCTATCCCCAATTCAGTCGATGTATTGGTTCAAGGAATACTAAACATACTTGCTCAGGCTTTGTTTAGGAGTGACTTAATCTTTACATACTCAACCATCCTAGATATTTGTTTTATTTTTAGATTAGTATAATTTATTCGAGATTGGAAATTAATAGTGTTTTGTACTTCTAGACTATATAAGGTTCAGCCAGGTAGGAAAAGTCAGTGGGCAGGACTATTTTGGCGTATAGTTGTTCTAAAATCCAGCAACCCAAGGCGACAGTTCCAACCTAGGCACCTCTTCAATATGTATTCCATTAGTAGGGTAATCAATAGTAATACTTTTATATTTAGGTTTGAGAAAAAACCTAATCAGGGTATACTACATAAACTATAGTCGTAATTCCTATAGAAATACTAATTCACTATATCAACTAGCTCTGATACCAATCTGTCACACTCTCCCCAACCAGTGGCAGGAAATTCCAAGTGGTTCTGGTATAAAGATTTCCCAAATCATAGAGTGCCAATCATAATTCCCAAATCTCTACTCCATTCTAGGAACACATGCGATTATTTAAAACTTCAAATTGATGTTGGAGAGTGCATAGGTTTTTATAGTTTTTGGCTTTTATTTGGTTGAATTAATTTAAGAATATTTTTTCTTTTAGAAAACCTTTCATATTGTATTTTATCAACCCTTGCTTACTATCTTTTAGGATATCTAACAATCATATCTTATTATCTTTTTAGGATATATTCTCTTGGAATATCTATCGATCTTATCTTATTATCTTTATGATATCTACCGATCCTATCTTATTATCTCTAGGATATCTATCGACCCTATCTTTTTATCTTTTAGGAAATTTATCTAATTGTAATGTATTTTATCTGCCATTCTAAGTTATTCCTAATGGTAGTCTGATATCTAAGGAGATCTAATGTATTACCATGAGCCCCCATACTCGACGTTGTTTGACTAATAATTTCCCCCACCAAGACGCGTCATCGGACGTCGAAGAGTGAATAACAAGAATGTTATCTTGTTGGGATTGTAGCTAGCAATCGCATGTGACCCATATAGATCTATAAATATCTTTCTAGCTCTTGCAAGATTAACGATTATAGGTATCGAGGAATGGATAATTTAATTAAGGCCTTTGGATGAATATTAATAAGCTCACTAATGCATTGACCTTAGATATTTATCTTTTATCTTTATCTTTTCTAGGGATTTCTTAGAGGAGAAGAAGATAGAGAGGTATATTTGGGGTTTGCATCAGCCTATCCAAGGCTTAGTCACGATCTCAAACCCTACTACCTTAGATATCAGCAAGAGATTAGCCTTTAGTCTGAACCATCATGAGGTTCGTTGAAGAACGATGGTTTTGAAGGCCGAGGGAAGTGAAAAAGGAAATTTGGCAAGGAGGCTAAAAGGAAGGTTAATAGTCATCATAGAAGAAGCGGGAAGTGATTCGAGCGTTTACGGTTGCAGCACCCTCGGTAGGGACTACTTTAGGAGGTAGTCCTAAGTGCAAGGAATGTGATTATCATCACCATGGAGCATGTTGGGTCTATACCAACTGCGACAATAGAGGTCATCTTGCAAAAAAGTGTAGAACCCCATCTAATCGAGATAGCCGAGAGTGATATGAGTGCAAGGAAATTGGACACATTAGGAGGGATTGTCCAAAATCAAGAGGTCATGGAGACGCTGCTAGAGGCAGGGCATTCGTTATCGGAGCGAGGGATGCTGTAGAAGATTCGACGGTAGTGATGGGTACGTTTCTAATCAATAAATTATTTGCAAATATTCTTTTTATATCGGTGCCGATAGAAGCTATATTACTCACGAATTTAGGAAGTTATTAGATCACTCCTCTAGTAAAATTAGGGAAGCCTATAGAATAGAAATGGCTAACGGCCAGGCCGGTAGCGTTTGGGAAATACTTAGAAACTGTACCTTGACTCTAAATTCTCATTCCTTTCTCATCGACCTCATGCCAGTGGTCATTCGAAGTTTCGACATCATTATTGGCATCCGCTAACCACATCGAGGTGCTATGATTCGAGAAGGCCCTATGTCTATCCTTACACAAAGGAGAATACGTGATCATCTTTGATGACAAGCCTAGTAGAAACCTTAGGATCATCTCATGCATGAAGGCTTGGAAATACTTGCAGAAAACGTATTTTTCCTTTTTATCTCATATTTTCGATAGGAAAGATAGTAAGAAGAAAAAGATTGAGGAAGTACCTCTTGTGTGCGAATTCTCTGATGTATTCCTTGAAGATCTACCCAGTCTACCGCCAATTCATCAAGTAGAGTTTAGGATTGATTTGGTCCCAGGAACTGCCCTAGTAGCCAAGTCTCCTTATAGATTGGCACCCTCGAAAATTCAAGAGCTCTCCAGATAACTACAAGAAATTGTTGACAAGGGTTTCATCACACCAATCCTTTCGCCTTGGGGAGCACCTATTTTATTTGTCAAGAAGGACAAATCTTTTCAAATGTGCGTAGACTACATAGAGCTAAATAAGTTGTCCATTAAGAATAGATATCCATTACTCTGAATAGACGATCTATTCCATCAATTTCAAGGGTACAGTTACTTCTCTAAAATCAACTTGAGATCAGGATATCAACAACTTCGAGTTATGGAAGAGGACATTCCAAAGTCTGCGTTCAGAACACGCTACGGTGATTATGAATTCTTGGTCACGTCCTTTGGATCGACCAATGCCCTAACTGTCTGTATGGAAATTATGAATTGAGTGTGTAAACCATACTTGGATAATTTTGTGATTATATTCATCGATGATATTCTGTTATACTCACGAACCAAAGAAGAGAATGTGTAACAACTTCGAGTAATCCTAGAGTTGTTAAGGAAAGAAAAGTTGTACGTCAAATTTTCTAAGTGTGAATTTTGGTTAACAGAAGTACACTTTCTTGGGTATGTGGTGAGCAACTAGTAAAGGAATTCATGTCGACCCTTCAAAGATATAAGCAATAAGAATTGGGAAGCGCCCAAGATGCCAACGAAAGTGCATCAATTTATAGGACTAGCCGGCTACTACCGGAGATTTATAGAGAATTTCTCTCGCACAACCAAACCACTCACAATGTTAACCCAAAAGGAAATAAAATTCATTTGGAAAGACATTCATGGAATTGTTTTCCAAAAGTTGAAGGACATGTTGTCTAGTGCACCAATAATATCTCTTCCAGAAGGTAATAATGACTTCGTAGTATACTGTGATGCATCACACCAAGGACTAGGATGCATATTAATGCAAACGGAGAAGGTCATAGCCTACGCCTCAAGACAACTTAATGTGCATGAAAACAACTACACCACCCACGACCTAGACTTGGAAGCGATAGTTTTTGCCCTGAAGATATGGTGTCAATACCTCTACAGAACAAAGTGTATGGTATACATGGATCACAAGAATCTACAACACATATTTAATATGAAACAACTCAATATGAGGAAGAGAAGATAGTTGGAATTGTTGTATGACTATGATTGTAAAATTCGCTACCACCCATGAAAGGCTAATGTCATAGCAAACACCTTGAGCCGTAAGGAATGAGTGAAAGCTCATAGAGTGAAAGAACTTACAATGACTATTCATTCAAATCTAATCTCCCAGATTAAAAGTGCTCAACTCGATGCTTTAACAGAATGAAATGTTAAAGAAGAAACCCTCAGAGGTATGGAAAAACAACTCGAAATAAAGAATGATGGAACGAGATATTTCATCAACCGAGTATGGGTTCCTGAAATATGAAGGAGTCAATGAACTAGTATTAGATGAAGCTCATAAGACTAGGTATTCGATTCATCAAGGACTAGACAAGATGTATCTAGACCAAAAGGCCCATTATTGGTGGCCGAACATGAAGACTAAGATTCCGACCATGTAAGAAATTACCTAACATGTTCGAAGCTCAAGGGAGAACATCAACAAACCTTAGGATTATTATATCAACCAGATATTCTCAAGTGTAGGTGGGAGCAGATTGCAATGGACTTTGTCACCAAGTTGCCAAAGACTACCGCAGGTTATGACACTACATGGGTAGTTGTCAATAGATTAACCAAATTTGCTCACTTCATACCTATAAGGGATGGATAAGATGGAGAAGCTGACCATAACGTACCTTAAAGATATTTTCATATTACATGTGTTGGATAAGGTGTCTAAGTCCATAACTTATTTGGTATATACTTGACCCGACCCGGCATGGTCCATTTGGGTTGCACTTCACCCGAACTATTTATATGGATAATATTTATGAAAATAGTATGTTTATGATTTATTAATATATTATAAGTTATAATATATTAATATGAAATCATATTATTTAATTAGTATTGATCTTAAATTAATTATGAATTAATTTAGTGATCAAAAAAGGTGACTAATTAAACATGGGCTATTATATTTATGTAGTGTGGGCTAACACTCATTATGGAAGTGGGCTAAGCTTAAATGGGAGTCCATGGAGCTTTTGACCCATGGATCCTTGGAAAAGGAAAGGACATGGGTTATTAGGGTTTACCTTAATCATCTGCACTATATAAAGAGGCTCATGATGCTTGGAATCGGACTAGGTGTGTATGCATAAGAATAGCCGATTCCTAGAACTAAATACATACTCTCTCATAATGTTTTCCAAGTTTGTGGTGTTTTGTGATTTCCATTTGAGGCATTCACATTATTGGTGCTTGGCTCTTAAACTCCAAAGTAATCAACTCACAATCAAAGGTATGTAATTCTTCTTGTTCTTTTATGTTTATAAGTACCCGATGCCATGCTAGATAGGTTATGAACTTTGGAAAAACACCTTAGGAATGTTA